TCTTTGGTGGCAAAGAATTTTTGATTTAAACTCTCTCTTTTTCTTTCTATTAATCCACAATGAGGACTTAGAGTTTCAACACTTCCTAATACTCTTAATCCTTTTTTCTCTCCGTTTTTTTTTATTTTTCTCTTGCCTTTATTAATACTGTTTCAGTGATGAATAATTCACTGCCTTTTTATTTAAAAGCTTATTGGCTGGTATATTCTCTTCTTGTATCTAAGATTCTGTTTTTTTGTTTTTTTCAATATATTTATTCTCGCTTGGATAAAGTATTAATTTCAAAATAAAATTTTTTTTTCTAACGATATTTATCAAAAGAATAACAGCTAATATTTTAAAATCAGATATCCATCACAAATAATCAAGAGCAATTAAATAAATAAATATAGTGGAAATTTCAAGCAACTTTTGGTCTGCAAAATAAAAATAATTTTATGATTTTGCAATCCCTAAAGCCAAATATCTGAATAATCTCAGTTTTATAATTTGTGCATAATCTAATTGAATTTAAACAAATGATAATCTACACATTATCATAGTTATTAGAAGTAAAATAATCATGATTGATAGGACTTTTAGGTTGAAATTTTTTTCACTATTTTTACAAAATTAGTTCTTTCATTTCCAATTAGTAATCAATATTAATTATTCTTAGCATATCATTTTGAATCATTTTTGAGAACTAGTTCAATATTTTTTAATAATTAGTTATTATTTTATCGTTTTCTATAAACATATATGTTATAAATACTTTAGACGCGCTTTGGTTTCACTAATTTTTGTTGGTTAATAATCTACCTTTTAATGATAAGTTTATGTTTAACAGGATGTAATAAATTTAGTTTATGCTTGACTTATTGTGTTTTTGGTTTATTTTTTAAGTAATATTTAATCTATTGATTAATTTTTAGTGTTGCTTAATATCATTTTATATGAAATTTTTTAATCATTTAGCCAATCAATGTCTTTTGAAATTTTTTGGAGTATTATTATGGTGGCTTTAATTTCTTCTTATTTTTGAGATTAAATTCCTTTCTATTAATTATTTAAAAATAATGGAAGATGTATTCACATTAGGATTGTAGGTTTTTGGAATCAGTTGAGTAGAATTGGAATGCCATTTTACTTAAGGTAAAAAAAGCTATAATCTTGCAGTATTTAAATTTTTAGTTGATTTGCTACTTTGCTCAAAAAACTAACGAAGATGAAGATTTACTAAATTTTGGTAAAATATAATAGTTGAAATATCTAATCAAAATTTACAAGACTCTATTTTTTAATGATGGTTAAAATAAAATTAAAAATTATTTTTAAATCTTAGTTACTTATTTTTTTTAATTAAATTGAAAATAAATTCCTTTTCTAATCAGTTTATTTATACTTATCTCATATGTCATTTCAATTAAATCATTATATAAATTGATATATAATTAATTAATAAAAATCAAGGAAATTTAAAATATTTAAATTTTGATTCGTCCACAGTGCAAGTAGCTTTACAAACTTTACATTCTTTACTTATTAGTTTGGTTTTTCGATTTTTCACTAATTTTGTCTCTGCCATTTTACATTATTAACAAATCAAGTATTATTCTACTTTTAGAAATATATGAATACTTAAAAAATCAATAAGGTAAGATTCAAGTACTTTACTTTTAATTCTTTATCCAATTATAATCATTTTTTGATTTTTGATTAACCTAAATTATTATTTTTTTAATACAATTAAGCATAAAATTATGCTTTGAAATATTAATTTACAAACACAGAGTTCATTTTCATCTAATTACATATTTTTGAGTAATTTAGCCAAATACTTCTAGCTCCCTTTATTTCAACTTCAGGTTTTGCCAATGATAATTTAGTTTTAGTAAATTTATGTTGCTAAAGTAATAAAAGTATTCTATCTAATGCTTTCACATATTATTCCTTATTTTATTATTTCTTTATCTCAGTATTATCTATCAATATTATATTCTACTTAACTTTAAATAGTAAATATCTATACTAGTTTATATTGAACTATTAATTAAAGAGATGCTATCATTATCATTCATATTTGTATTTTAAATAAATTCTTTAATAAGATAATTATTAAAATAAATTGAATTAAATTAAGCGATTTATTTTTTATTAAAATTACTGATAGAATCTATTTAAAATAATCATAAAATATATATCTATTTAAATAAACAAAATTTTGCAATCATATTAATTTTTTATTGGTAATTCAAATCTAACAGTTTATTTCATAAATTATCCTAAAATTATCCTTTTTATATTTACTCTGAAACAAAAACCCATTTTATTATAAAATATTCATTTATGCTTATTATTCTATAAATTCATTGGAAAATATCCATTTCCAAACTCCATAAGTTATTCTATTTAAAATAACATATCATTTTAGTCTTAATTTCATGATTAACTTAATTATCTATAAGACTCTTCCATATATATTAAAAATAAAAGAATTTTAATAATTCTGCACTTATTAAAAGACACAAAAACAAAGTTATTTATTAAAATGTTTATTGTTAACTTAATTGAAAAATTAATGATTATTTTCAATGAAATTTATATAAAGAGTTATTTTATGGTTAGAATGTAAATTAATAATTATTAATAAAACCTATTCATTAACCATATTGCTCAATAATAAGTTCCTAAAATTCAGTCCAAGATATATATTTAACTCAGAAAATATTAAATTTGGATCAAGATTATATGAAATTTTTTTTGATATAATTACATTATCTTGATCATGTATTCACAGTTCAAGTAATTTATTAGGTTCTATAGTTTACGAAAAAGGTCTTTAACTTTCAATAATTTTGGACCTATTTTCCTTACCAAAATAATTATGTTTTCATTTAAAAGGTATAAAATTAAGCAAATTATATTAAATTATCCATAATATTGATGAATATTTTGGTTTTGTTTTAATGGTAAATTTTTTCGTACCCTAAAGTCTTCGAATAAAATTGGAATCATATTTATAATAAAAAATTTTTATCAACAAAAGACAATCACAATATAAATAATAATTTCAGTATTTATTTATATTTTCAAACTGGTATATTATTTAATATTTTTATTTTAGAATTACGCAAAACACCCACACATGGATATAATTCATATTTTGTATATATGTTCATCTATTAATTATAAATATTCTATTTACAATAAATCTTAATTATGGACAATTCTATTTACTCCATTTCAATGTATTTATGTTCAATACATACTTCCATTATTATTATATTATATCATTATTTGTAAATTCAAATGATAATTTTTATCTAATAGATTTTAATTATGATGAGAAAAAATACAACCATAAAAATATTAAATATGTTCTAATATGATAATTATTTTTTCATACCCATGCCCATTGTAATAACATTTATAATTATTTTTTTAGAATATTTTTATAAATCCAATTTGGACATGAAAATGTGATCCACACAACTTCTTCATTGCAAACTGTATTTTCCCAGTTTTTGATATTGCGTAATCACAAAACAATAAGGCCAACCATTCTGTTACAACTTTTTCCCCTTCGCTTACTTAAAAATTATCATGGTTATAGGTATTTGAAAATTATAATTATTTATGATATAATTGAATCTAAAAATAATAACAAATTGATTTTAAATACTTTTTCTAATTCCATTTTGTTTATTTTTCTTGTTCTAGCTTAATTTTATCAATTTAATCAAGTTTATTTAATACTTCATATAATTCTTATTATTTTAAGTTAAATTTTATTTAAATTCTTATTTTGCTTTTTTTTCTATAGAATGATATCAAAATCTCTCACATTCATCTACAAATTTCTTCATTATAACCATCTTATCAAATAACTTTTTCAAATTTATATTATTCTATTCGAATTATTATTTCGTATTTATTCATTCTAATTCTACAGTCAAATTTAATTTGAATTAAAATATTTTATATTCTTTTTGATCAAAAGGAAATTCTAATAGAAGGAGGAAATAATATAAACCTAATTTGCAAGAACAAAGCAGATTTAAAACTGAATCCAGTAATAATTTAAGATAAAACAAACAAGTGGTATGCAATTCTTTAGCAACTCAACTCTTACCTTAATTGATATGTGATCTGATGGATTATG